AGAACATATCAATAAAATCTACACAAAATTCTCTATCTTTTAGCATCAGAACGCAACCTTCTGATCAAGTCTAATTTGAGAAAAAAGCCTATCAAAAACCGGCAATTTCCTCTGCCGTACCCGTTATTATGCTATGACACAATAATAGAAAGGAACTTGTTTACACAAATACAGTTGGAAATATACAAAAATAGTAAGTAAACATAATCACACGAGACTTTTATCAAAGTTGTGAACAATCTTTATTAGATATTCATCGAACTTGATACTATTTGATCTAGTCGAACTATGAACAGCTCTTCAATTAACCAAAAGCAAAACATACTTTATCATTATAGAAAAAACGCAGCAAAATTAGAAGGATATGATAGATTAATGTTCATTTTAGAAAAAAAATTGAGTTAGAAAAATAAATTATCTTTCTACTAACTAACTGCTTACCATTTTTGTTCTTTTTTTTTCAATTGCTCTTGAAACTTTTGCAGTCGAAGTACTTCGGCTTCTTCTTTTTTCTGTTTAACAAGTTTGATATGCTCATCTAAGCCTACTCGTCCATTCATTCGATCTAAACATAAAAACAAAACAAATAACAATATTTTCATATTTAAAACATGTTTCTAGTGTGTATAAAAACTCACCATTACTCGTTCGTACCCATGACACTTTACTGATTCTAGAATTTGTTGTACTTGGAGGTTCTGACGAATAAGCAACTAAGTCACCTTCATCATTTTGTCCATTAGTAAGAGAATCTTGAGACATACTCTCTAAATAATAGAATAAAATAATATTTAATATTAATTGATCATAAATCCTAAGAAATCAATCGATATTTTATTATTTGGAATATTCTAGACGTATGAAAAATTTCAAACTCACACAATGGCTTATTTAGTTGATTATCACTGTCAATAATATTTTCTGCTAAACAATTATTGATTTTCTAACTTTCATCTATTCTAGAATATTTTTTGATTTTTATCAAATTAGATATTAACTTTTATAATTGTTGATGAGTTGAAGAAAAAAAAAGTAGTAGCAGATGAACACATTCATACGAGTTCTCATCGAACACGCTCACAATGACACAAACTTAATTATGACAGTTTAAATTGGAAAGTAAAACTTGTTCCTAGACAAAATAGTATAATTAGTATAAAAATACTTATTTTTCTATTGAGATATTTGATTTACATATGTTCATACATATTGAAGTTTAAACCATTCGTTCATTGTCGTCTTTTTCTTTTTTTTTTTACTTCTTTTTTTATTTAATGTAAATTTAAGAAGAAATAAAAATAAAAACGAAATGAGACTATCTATATTGTGTGTGTCATGTTTCATTACAGCTAAATGGAAGTCTTATGTTTTTCGTGGCATATTTCACCTGAATCAACTCTCTATCTGACAATATGATACTGTATGTAAGATACACATAGACATAAAAACACAAAGCTTTCAAAGAGGAAACAGAAAATGAAAAATTTCAAAGTTCATGAACAAAAATGAAATTGACCATTTGTATCTCGTAACTTGTTGTTTGAATACATACGAGAACCAGAAAAATATTTTGTTTTATGAAAAAAAGAAAGGTGAGATATTTTTTTCTTCTTTTTGTATAATGACGGGTATCGTTCAAGAGCAATTGTATCAAGGACTATAATCATGCGGTAGTTTAGAGAAAGAGAAGAAGAAAAAAATCAATTGTTCATTTTTGATTTAAAATCCGACGAAATCAACGTTAGAATATAAACGAACAATATATGATGTGTATGAAAATATAGAAGGTTAAAATCAAAAGAATAAAACGAAAATCAGTCTAATCAATTAATTGTTAAAAACAAACAAATCATTTAATAGATGTTTAAAATGAACATGTCAAATAACGAACAACATACAGATATTAGGAAAAAAAATATAACAAAGAGATGTTGTTAGAAAAATAAATTTTTTGTATGATTTGATATAAGACATGTGTATGTGTCATATGAATGGATATTTACACAATCCAGCATTACACGAGAGAAATAAAATTTTTAACTGGTACATATTAAGAAAATATGTAAATGCCTCTCCCTTTCGTTTTCGTTTATTTTTAGCTTACCGATGATCATCCAAAGTGCCCAGACTAAGTACCACCAAATTTTAGTTCAGATTATCTCGACTTAGTCAGTAGCTCTTTCGAAAAGTCAAGAACTTCAAATGTGGAATCGGTACAAGTGACATTGAATACTGATGCCTCGAATTAACTTAACAGCGAGAGTAAAATGATCCAAATGCCATTTTTTTTATAAGATTTAGAGGGCAAATTATAGCTCATCGATAACGCGTGTGCAGGCGATACTTTTATTTTAATAATAAGTTTGAATTGTAATACGTTAACACTTTTCTTAAAATCCAAAGTCTCTTGTATCATTAACGCATTTACACGCGTATCGTTTGTTCGAAAACATCTGTATTTATTTGTTCATGGATATGACGGTCTGATACCTAGTTAGCAAAGATCTATCTATCTATCTGATACTTTTGTTTGAAAACACATTTTTCGCAGCCATTTCTGTGTCTATGGGTACTACTTCATTCTCAGTATATTGTGTAACTAATAAAAACCTATAACTGCTATAAAAAAAAATAAAAAGTACATATAAAAGAAACTGAGTGAAAATCAAGTAGAAGACAATTTAATAGAGCAAGAAGCTTGGCATTCTTGAATTGTTCCAGTATTGTTTGAATATTATTTGATGCATGTAAATAAAACTGAAATCTATTTTGCATAATACATGTGTTAAATTTCTAAAATTACCCACTGTTGATCAAAACTTTCAATGAAATGTAACTAATTAATTTGAAATTTGAAGAGCGATTTCTCATATTGCGAAAAACTTTTCTTAATTGGAACAATTTGTTGAAAAAATGAACGTATGTCTTAAAATGTGAGCCTGATCTTTTAGAACATCGTGTATCTTCACAGTAATCAAAGTACGCACAACAACTGGATTGATATCAGAATCCAGATATTGTTATTAGCGGAGACTGTAGTACATTTATTTACAGTTTATATTTAAAAAAGGAATGAAAAAGATTTGTTTAGGTCACGCTGGACTGCCAAAATCATACTTTCCTGTATAATTCAAACTTTCATTATCAATACTATAAATTGACGTTGGTGCATATTTATTTGATTTTAATGTTTGATTACTTTTGATTGTTGGATAATTCTCTCGTTTTGTTGATCTTCCATATTCAGTATCACCACCACCATTATTTGTTATAACTGTTGTACTTTCGATTTCATCGTCAAAAGAATAATCATCTGTTCTATATTCTAATTCAGATCGATAATGTCGATGAATCGTATTCGCTGGACTTGTTGCTGTCGAACGAGATGCTTTCGTTGAACATACTAAGAATTTAACGGCTTCACAACAAAATAGAACTGCCACATTTCCGTTCAGTATAATACGTCGCATGAAATCAGGTCGTTTGACTTTCAAACAATATAAACTGAGAGCAATTACTACTATTATTATGACAATTAAAAGCAAAACAATAGGTACGGATGATGAACGATGTTCACGGGTAATTGCAGGTGTTTGTGTGAAAATTGGACGATTATTATACAAGAATTGAGAATTATCATTCAATTGGAGCAATTGTCTCCATTGTGGATCATCTGACTCTAACTGTTGTTCCGATAAGGATATACTGAATGTAGACGTTAACGTTGTTTTACGACGTTTGTATGAGCTCTTTGTTGAATCTTCTAAAGTTTCTTCTTCAATCAACGCTTGTTCTTGCTTTTCTTCCTCATTCTCGCTTTCCGCTTTACCAAGATGAAAGAGAGCATCGTTATTCGAGATTATTTCATTTTCACTATCTAAATGTTGTGGTTCGGCAACAGCGTCAAGAAACAGCTCATCATCGTCCGTTTGAAGACGAGCTGGTGTTTCTTCTTCTGTTAATAATTTAATATCTGAATCTGACACATCTTTTTTATTATTCAGTTGAATAAGGTCGAGTCGACTCTGTTTTATTGCGTTATTCATATCGATCGTGGGTTTTGGTTGTACTGTCAGTCTCTTTCGTAGTGGTGCTGCTGTTACAGTTGTTGTTGTCGAAGTAAACTTTCGTTTCGACCAATTACATATAATTTGTACATTGTGATCAGTTTTCGGTGGACTCGCTCGAACTTCTAACCAGAAAAGTAATTCGGCTTCATTGATATTCGTACCACGCATATATGTCAAAGTAAAGTTGTGACTACCTGAACCAAATATCGCTCCAGACGATGACATATCCATGCATTTTCTTTCTAAACGATCTGTTGCTATCTCTAGATATGTTGTTTGTTTACAATCGCTCGGTGGCGCTGATTGTTGTTGTTTGATACTCTGAAATTTTTTCTTTACACTAAGTACATCATCTTTTCCTTCTCGTTTCATTTCAATCACTTGTAGTAGAACTTGTCCATTCGATAATGAAGAACGTATTTTACAATGACAACGATTATCATTATTTTTAACTGAAACAATATTATTCAGTTTAAGTCGTTTACGATTCGAACTATTTCGTTTCAGTTTCATTGTATGACTAATATGAAGTATAGGCGATTCGTCTTTCCATATATCACAAATGTCTCGTGTGACTTTTTCTGATACACAAGCATAGTTAATTTGTACATAATTAAAATCCTGACAAATCGGTAATTTATTACTATTATCAACCGTTGTTGTACTCAATAGTTCCTGTTTCGTTAATTCTATAGTACACGTTTCTAAACCATTACATGATAAAACTTTTGTATTGTGTCCTTCTTGAATACAATCATAAATACTAAATGAACATAGAGATTTTTGCGTTAATGGTGAGCCAATTGGAAATAATGGTGATACTGCCGATGATGATAATGATGGTGACGTTTCTTTATTATAACCGTAAATTAGACGAACAAGTTTAATACGATTTTGATTTGGACACGCTAAACGTAGATGAACGTTTCCCGTATTTGCTGATAAACAACCACTTTCAAAATGTAATGTTTCAACGTCAAGTGCATATAAATCATGATAAATTGTTGTTAGGACAATAATAATAAAAATTAATCGAGAAAACATATTTAATGTTCAAACAATCAAACATAGTTTCTATATATTGTATTTTTAACCAGTAACCAACACCTTCATATGCACTAGAGTTGAAGGTAACATACCACACTTTAATAGATAGTACTACTCTCTCACTGAGCTTATCACATTCAAAATACAGGCATCACTAATTTAAGACATCAACTATCACATAACTTCTTTTGAAACGTAAAGAGGAAGAAATCGTATACAATGTTTAATTTTCATTATTGATAGGGTATGAAGATGTACAAGTAGAATTGGAGACGAGTCGGACATGAATACAAGTGTATGTGTTGACAAATAGTCAAATGGATGAAATCATAGACAGAAAAAACATTGAACATCAAAGACGAATAGAATGAAGAACAAGAGAAGAAAAAAAAATGTATGTGGCTTACGCAGAGAAATTAGAAAGATTTAATGTGGGTATACAGGTATACACATTGAATGCTCTTTTTGATAATCCGTTACAACATTGTTTACATTCCGACATATATCTTAAATGGACGAAAGATAGCTACTTACTAGTTCAAGGTACTAAACGTTGATCCGACCATTCAACTTTATCGCAACAAATACTACTTAACTATTAAACAGAATCTAAAAATAACCAACAGTTTCGCATACAAAAAAACTTGTGATTACTTTCCTGTGCTAAAGACAGATTCTATCTGGCTTTATTCTCAACAAAGAAAGACTCTTTTAAAATATCTTCGATTGCTCTCACATTGGAAAACTCGTTACTTTGTTATAATTAGGAATCTTAAGAGCTGGTAACTTTGGCCAGGATTTCACAATATATCACAACATGATAATTATTAGTCGAATCGCTTTGCATAAGCGTAGTGAATAGAATAAATTAATTCTATGAAAACAAAAATTAGTATCAGATAAAATCGTGTTTAACTTTAAATTATTTGATAAGATATCAAAAATAAATTTGCTTTTGAAAAAATCAGGACTCACGATGTAATAAATTTTCTCCATCGTCCGACTGCTGTTTATATTCTGTGATATCTACAGAATCATTTGATTCATTATCTGATATTGGATAAGTATCTGAAAACAAGACGTAAACCGAATTATAATTTAATTAATGCCAATATCTTATCTTTTATTACCTCCTGCAATCTGATCGTGGTGATCAGGAGGAGTTATTGTCGCAGCAGTAACATCATCTGATAAAGCTAAACAAAAAATATTTAAATTGAAATATTTATATAGAAAAAAATGTAACATTTTTCTCTCTTTGTAGGATAAACACTTACTTAATGTGTCATTACTCAATGTATAAGTTGGAGATTGAGTTCGACTGTTTTCTTCCTCATCTAAAATGGTGAAATAAAGAGTAGGAGATAAATCTAAGTGAACTAGATTAGATCTTTTCAATGGTATGATATGCACGTGACTTGTTCAATTATTAATTATTATCTTTTTTTTCTAATACGTACCAACTGGATGACTAGCCATTTTATAAACTAACTAAATTGATTGTAAAAAAAGTCAATTTTAAATTGAAAAATAGATTAATAAACCGGCGGCAATAAACACTATAAATACGAAAGAAGAATCATTTAACAAAATATAAGTGACACGTCATTTTTTTTGTTACTCACTCGGTTAGATGTGTTTAATAATATTAAAATCATTTGTAAACAAGCGTATGAGATTAATAGAAGATCAATGTTTTACTTTTAGGCATTTTCAGAAGAATACAATCGATCTCAAAATAATAAAATGTTCAAAATAAAAGAGAACTTTTAGCTACTATTACCTATCTGAAACAAAAACAAAAAAAAGAAAAGAAGTTATATATATTGACGCTATGTGTTTCGCGTTTGACTTTTTTTTTTCACTTTTTATTTTTTCTTATTCTTTTTCTCACTGACGATTCCATCGAGAATGAAACGCGTGCTTTTCTTATATATGTAGAATAAGATGCGAGAAATTGTAACTAATATTAATAGAAATAATGTTTGGGTTATTATATTACAAAGAAAAACGAATAAAAAAAAAATAAAAAAAAAACAAAAAAAAAAACGAGAAAACTAGACCGAATAGAAGAAAAATCAATTATGTCTATAATAACAACCGTTTAATGTTAGTTCGATATGTAGAATTTGTATGCGTGTTTGTGAATGTATAGTATATGTTGTTTTATCATTTATTAGAAGCTGAACGGAATGTTACCTTCGTCTTGAGACCGAAAAATTTATATTCTTAATCAACAGTAATTTATCTGCCTCATTCTTTTCATAGTTATAATTATAATAAGATTTTCAATCTTATGTTTATAATTTTCTATAATATTTTTACGTTTCTTTTATTAAAATATTGTCAACAACATAAAATACTAAATTTTTTAATGTCAGACAGGTAAGAATCTGAAGAATACTTCATTATTTTAGAATAACAAAAATGTTTACACTTTGGGTACAAAGCGTTCAACATACTAAATAATTCATGTATCTTTTCAATCGTACCTTTCATTATTTTTATATCAACTAGAGAATAAAAATAAGTGAACATAATCAAAAGTATTCATTCATCTTGACCGAACTACATTCCTAACTCGACAGTTGAAGAGAAGACATCTGTATCATCTTAAACTCATGTTTAGTATCCAAAAACTTACCCACCCACAGAACACAAAAAGAATACACGTGTCAATGGCTCAAATATAAAACATTGAAAAAAAGAAGAAGAAAGAAACTGTATAAGGTAGAATAATCCTACAAAAGAAAAAAAAGACATGAACACATTTGAAACAATAGATCTATAGAAGCCAGAGGCAACTCGCCACACTTTTCTTTCTTTTATATTTTACTTTTGTTTTCTAAAACTAAACTGACCACAGTACACCATAAAAACATCTGCATATATTCATTCTGAATATACCTACATCTATATGTGTAAATTCATCACTCATAAAATAATAGAAATATAAAGAAGCAGACTTTAATAGGGCTATGTTTTATTGCCTATTCACCTATTCTTTTAGTTTTTGACAATTGACTTAGATGTTAAAAAAACTTCATAATAGTGCAACAAGAGTAGACAGACGTTGATTTCCTTTTTTCTATTCGTGACACACTATATGCTTCCTTGAAGAAAAATTTCAACATATTTGTACAGATCATACAGAATTCTACATTTCAAGTCCAACTAATCTATAATAATAGTATATGACGGGTACGATGGGAAAGCACGCACGCAATAATCCTCTATTAAAGATGAAATTGAAGATGTGATCGAAATTTACTCTCTTATCTCATAGGCATACATGAGTTGTCCATCAGCATTAATCTACTATCTAGGTGAGATACGAAATATTAATCATCTTTGGAATAACGGTCAATGATATTTCCTTAGAAAGGAAACGGTTGAAAATATTCTTCTGTATTTACACATCATGCGAAATATACCGATACATCTCTGAATTATCAGTTTCAAAAAGTTAGTATTTCGCATCAATAATAGTGAGACAAGATACAAAACATTTAGAATATACGTTCTAATTTTTTTTCTCCCTAATACTCTAACAAAAAATTAATGTCTTCAAAATTGAGAAAAAATTACGAATGACAAATTTTGTTCTGTATAACTGTAAAAAAGCAACAACAAACGTTTAAACTATGTTTTATTTGTTTATGCTGTATGTTTCTTGATTATATGAACAGAGAATATGCTGTTTATCATTGGTCATTAACATATCTAATATTTGTCAATCGTTTTTTTCATCACTTTTTCATTCATTGAATAGTTCACTGTTTCTTACATTGAACAATTTAATGTGACCGTTCAATGTAAGATCGACTTACTTAAATTAAATTTAAAAATTTACTATACGTATAAACCCTACTTCTCATTTTTTTTGAATTTATATCGTATATAAATATGTTTAATCTGGACATTTATCACCCTATATAATATTTCCACTAGTAAATGCAACGGTTTTCAACTAAATTACCAACTTTTGCATTTTAAAAAAAATGAATGATGATATTAATTTCCCATCAATAATATTTGTCATTCAGCATGCCATTTTCATCATTTATACAAAATATTATAATGTGACGTCTTCTACTCGTTCAATGGAATTTCAAATAATCAGAACAGTGAATCATTTGTTCCGACGAATAATACATGAGCAGTTAGATGAAAATATAATAATTCTGTATCTTTTCTACCGGTGGGAAATGACCATTATTCTTCTTTCTATTCAAATACCAATAACGAAGTTGACTACTCATATCATATCCTGCGCATACATTCTTCGAATGAAAACTAAAACAACAATCAATAATCGAATCTTGAAAACTATTACATTCACCCAACGGATCACCATTGCTTATATTCGATAAGAAACATTATCACTTTCGTTATTACACATCACTTTTGTATCTATCGGATTTTCGATTGAAAAAACCAAAATATCTTTGACTTTGCATGTTTATGTCGAAGGCTCATCATCTCTTCTTGTTGTACCAATGCATGCACATAATTTTCATTATTATATTGATTGCTGTTCTAACATTCTAGAGCATCCCAGAGAGAGCCTAAGAATTATCTAGACTAAAATTGAAATGCTGAAGTTTTTTTATTCATCGAATTTTGGAGAGCTATTGCGAACATTATCCATTTCGATTAGAGATTCACACATTAAAAATACTAACTCAAAAACAGCACCAACAATGTCATCATTTTAATTTTCTCTATAAACGTAGTATAATTTTAAGTAATTTTTTTAAGAATTTTGTAAAACAGTTTTTCTCCGTTTCCGATCGGAAACGGAGTATAACACAAAATTTTCCAAAATAAACTTGTCAGAAAAAAAAATTTCTTTTACGAAGGCTATTTGTTCACACGTAAGATCTTATTATGTACTTGTGACTTTCTTCATGATATAAATCTAGACCGTCAAAATTTGTTTCAGTTGAAAGCACATTGAACATTGATAGATCGGACTCAATCACTTCAATGAAATTATCCAACAATGCAAATTTCATCGTCATTTCCACCTTTAATTGATACAGAAGGATTGGAATTAGTCATTATCAAAATCTGAAAAATAAATAATCATTTTTACATGCAATTGCGCGTGACCTATTCCACCGTAAACATACAGTCAGCGTTTCTAGGAATAAGTGTACACGGCAATTATAACGAATAGTTTACTGCACATTTGCAAAGTTGAACGACACTTTGCTCAAATAAACAAAATGAACAGCATACAAAAAACACATTCGTTTTTAGCAGTTTTGGGCTGCTAACGGCTTTCTGTTCTCCATAGTCATCAATTAAACAATAGACCTATTGATTTGTTTCCTGTATTTAGAAACAATAACGACCAGTCGCTTCAATATCTCCTTTTCTAACTATGAACCACTTGTTTATTTGTTTTCCGCACAACTGGCAGAATGGTGACAAATAGATGTAACATATCACAGCGTGAATGAAACTTTTTAAAACTGTTAGGAGCACAATTTGTAAAACTTGAACAAAATATCTCTTCATTTTAGAATGATGCACAAAAGCTCCTCTATCGCAATACAAAAATGTTGTGTTTGAACCTTTAAGTATGTTCTTTCTATTTTTAGACAATGAACTCCAATAAAAAGTTTAATTAGTCAACATTTTCATGTTGTTTTTCACTTAAGTCAGGTCCAAGAGATGTATAAACATTAAGTTGAATAATTAACTTCGCATTCCCTGAGCTGTTAGTAGAGTCTCTGATTTGTTGTGTACTTTTGTTATTTACATGTTTCTAATGAGTTTCTATTGCACAAAATATGAAGGGTAAGAATCTTTTCTTATGCGTTATTGACAAAGAGTTTTAGTTTCGAAAAATAATGTGTACTCTTACAGATCACTTCAGATTTTCATTATAACCAAAAAAATAGAATCTCGACTTCTGGTAAATGTTAACAGATCATGCTTCAACCTGATTTGACGTCGCAGTACAGAAATAAAAAATAATATTATGATTTAATTTAAATTCAATCAGTTGTTTGTTGAACTAGAATTAAAATTACTTCAGAAATAAATGTACAAGATAAGTCTCTTCAACTCTATACGCAAAACATATGAACAGCAACAAGACATTTTGTTCAAATCATCAACTGAACGAACAAGTTTTTACCTGAAATGATATTGTGGCAGGTGCCATTTTTAATTTTAGATTTATTACATTTCTTGTGCTGAAGCCTTGCAGAAGTGTGCATCGCATGGAGAAATAAATTGAGAAACGATAAGGGAGAACATTTTAAAATGTTTTAACTGGCTAAAATTCAACCCGTCATTCATTCGAAATGTGAGTCATAGAGGTAAAATGAATCATTTCCTTTTTTCTTTTCTGTTGTTTTTATTCACACAGATTCTACTCACACGAATGGTTTTCTGAGAAATTGTATGCAATGTTCATCGTCGGTTGTTTCTGCGCTTGTTCCAGTATTTTGTTTGAATTAAACTGAAATTTTTTTAATTTGCACGTCTAAACATTAACGCATTTTCACATTACCGTATTTGATTGAACAAGTATTTCTTTTTTTTTTTTAAACAGTTTTCCTTCTATTCACAAAATAATGGTAAAAATAAAAATAAAAATACAACTACCAGAGAAAAACACTTATTCGGCAATTCGAGATATCCCATTGTATGCCGGATTTTATATGAACATACTGGAACGAAATGAGTATATAGAGAAGAGAGATTATACTAGTGTTGGTGAAGAGAGAGAGAGAGAGAGAGAGAATTGGGAATCAAATTTTGAGATCCGCTGTATCCATGTGACGTCCTGCTCATAAAGGTTTAGTACATCATGAATTTCTCATGAGATGTTGCTGCTGAGTATATACGCCTACTGTACTATTTTTATCCTAGCTATTTTTTAATAAAATGTACAAAGGATACAGATGAATTATTCAGTAAGAGTAGATTTTAATAAAAAATGAAGTATGGCTAGCTTGCATGACATTTCCCATTGCATAGTTTGGAAGCGATAGAGCTCACTATAGTGAAATATGGGTTCTCGATCACACGCCCTACTGTGGTGTGTGTGGAGTCTGAGTGTAAGTGTGAGATCAGTCTGTAGGAGTACCGAAATATACCCAGTCCTATGGAAGTCCCTCTGCATGGAAGATGAAGGTTAATGGGGAACTGAAGTTAGTATCACAGGTAAATGACAGCTTATACTAGATTGATTTTTTTGTATCCAAGAATCTCTCTCAATGTCAGTTTTTATTTCTAATTTTACGGTTTTGGGGATCGACATTCTTAAGTAACTCTTAAAATTTAGCACTTAAGTCTACACTTAGCCTTATTAACCCTTCACTTCATTTTCGATGTTTAAACAACAGTGTTCACTTAAGTCTTCGTTCTGACTTTAGTTTGCCTTAACTATATAAAATGTGATCTCAAACTAAGCATTCTCTAACGTTTACTAAAGTCAGGGCTGTAAAACAACACTCTAAAACAAACTAAACATTGACTCAAATCTTTGTTTTAGTTCATAAAGTTAAGGATATTAAAAAAACGACTCCCTGTATCATTCGTATAAATTTTTTTCTCAAAAACAAAGGCGTACATTCCAAAGTAGAAAATCCTAGCATCACATATGGCCTGCCCTTTGTTTAGATTTGTCGATCATTCAAGTTATCCTGCTTAAAACGCTGAGTGAGTCTTTTCTTCCTTATGAGAATCGATTTTTGGAGATATACATTACATGAAAAGCGCCGCATTTTACTACATACTGGAAAATTTTTTGTTGAAGAAGTCTGTCATACGCTATAAAATTTCTTTCGGTTGGTATCAATTTGGTTTATTTTTCATAAATGCCAGAGATTTTGTTACGAAATGAAGTAATGATTGATTTAAATTTCAAAGTGTATGCTTGTTTTAATTTTCAAACTTTACTTGTTTCAGCAAAATGTAAGAGAAACTGTACTTTTTTTAAATTCTTAAAGTGTTAGTACACTTTGTCATTAAAAATACTGACTCAATAAATAAGCTTTTACAAATAGCATCTGATTTAAAACAAAAGAACGACAGCGAGGTTAAACCAATAAATAATTTCCTTTAGCAACAGATACATAGTATCCTCGCCGTTTGCTCCTTTCTCGTAAGTCATCTCTTTTCTCTCTTCATTTTATTTCATAGTGGAAAAACAGAATAGAAATTAGATATCAATTTTTAAAGTGGGGGTTCACTTTGTCCGAAACACTGGTTTATTTCTCCTCTGTTGGTATCTTAATCTATTAAACTTAAAATATGCTAGTAAATATTCCTGTATTTTTTTAGAGTTAGTTCAATGAGTGCCTCCTCTGGTCTTGTTACTCAACCTGTTAGAATAAAAAGGGTTGCGGTTGACAATAAACTGACCAAAACATCAAAATCCAACAGCACAGATTTGGCCTCAAGCTCTAGTTCCGAATCATCTGACAAACGACTAATAAATATACGCCTCAACATATTACGATGGCCTACCGTATTGTGTCGCACAACAAAAATCTCACGACAACCACCCCCAGAACCCACGCTGGTGCATGAAAAATTTATTTATCTTGGTGGATTAAAATCATTGAATAATAAAGTAACAATCTTTGTTCATTTTTTATATAATGCATTATAACCAAATTTAATAATTAGAATGTTTTTCTTTTAGACTCGTTTATCTCGACTGAATATTACGCACATTTTGTCTGTTGTTTATATTCCACCAAGTAAAGCAACAATTTCTCTAAATAAAAATACTAATTTCAAACATTTATTTTTAAAAGCTGATGATTCTATTGATTTTAATATGACCGTCCATTTTGAACCTGCTTTTGCGTTTATCGAAGAAGCCCGATTGGCAAATAAATCAGTTTTATGTCATTGTGTATGTGGTATCTCTCGTTCAACAACCATCGTCTGTGCGTATCTTATGAAATATAATTCAATGTCATTAGAAAATGCCTTACTTCAAATAAAATCAAAGCGATCAATTATACAACCAAATATTGGATTTTTAAAACAATTAGTCGAATTCGATGAGCAATTGAAAAAAGACCGAGAACAATCGATTAATAATGGAAGAGGAATTGAAAATTCTACAATTGAGAACCTTGCAGAACAAATGACACAAGTTAATTTTGACTAATCTAAAGATCATTCTAAATTAATAATTTTTGTATTTATTTTAACGAGTAATATTTTAATAGTTTTTTATTTTTATTCATGAGCACTTATTACTTTTGTGTTTTTTTTTGTTTCTTTTGACACTCATTTTTGTTTAGTGTTTAGTTTTAGCACTTTTAGTCAGATGAATGCTATGTCCCTATACATTGTATCACTGGAATTTTCCGGCGTCTTTAATGAGAATATATTTTTGAATGCTCAATAATCTTTACATTGTTATGTATCAGATTAAAAATAAAGTTTGGGTAAACACACTTCATCTTCTGTCTTCTGTTGTTGTTTTTTTATCATAGGTTAAGAAATTATTTCTTACAAGATGACTGTAAAAATTACCCAATGAAAATTATTATCTTTTGATTTCGTAGGTGATGGTAATAGACCTTATTCCACTGTACTTACTGAAAAGTACTTAGATTATAACGATCATTCTTTATGCAAAATTTTATTAAGAAATTGCTGATGTCTGTGTTGGCTTTAGCTAAATTCTCTGTACGTTAGCTTCACAGCATGATTGACTGATTTATGAATAGTTTCAATTTTGATAGTGTGTTGTTGGATTTATGTATCATTAATTTTCATTTTAGATTATTTTCTTTTTTCCATTTTCTCAGATTATTTTTGTCAATGATCAAAACTTAATCAGATTACTACAGATAATGTCATCTACCGCTAGCAATAATAATTATTCATCGTCAACTCAAGATAGTAATGATAATAAAAAAAAATCCAATAATAGTGATAATAATAAAAAAAGTTTTTCATCAAAGTTTTTATCTAATGCGAAAACAGGCAGTGATGAACAACCGATTGACAAAACCTTTTACAACGTATTAAATGTGACGCCAACGGCCTCCGCAGCTGAAATAAAAAAAGCATACTATTCATTATCATTACAATATCATCCGGATAGGACTTCACATCTAAACGAAATTGTCAGACGAGAATATGCTGAAAAATTTAAATTGATCTCACAAGCGTATAGTAAGTTCATTTTATAATATATTTCTTCTCTATGTATATAATATAATTAAATTTTTTGTTTTGTTTAGCAATTTTGAGTGATCCAGAAAAACGATTAATATACAATAAATATGGTCTTGATGAACGATCGAGTGGTGTAAATGCCCCAATGCGCATGGAAGATTTTGATGCTGAACAATTTTTTCAACTTATGTTTGGGGGAGAGCAATTTATAAAAATAATTGGTGATTTTGAGTTAGCTAAATCGTTTCAACATGCTATTTCAGAAATATTGGCTGCAGAAAATCAAGATCCATCAACAGAAACAAAAGAACAAAAAGAAGAAAAACAACGAAAACGTCAAGAATATTTTGATGAACGTATGGCAGCGAGACAAGAACGTATTAAAACATTGTCAACAAATCTTATTTATAAACTATCTATTTACACTGAAGCATTTCCATATAAAAATGATTTAAAGCATAGTGATGAATTAGCTGCACAAGCATTTAGTAATTTTGTTCAACTCATTCAATTAGATATACCAAATTTAGTGCAAGCACCCTATGGTGAAAATTTGTTACATTGTATCGGTTACATTTATTCGTCAAAAGCTACCCAGTTTTTAGCAAAAATGGATTCACAGGAAGGACATATTGGAAAGCGTGTTGTAGCTGTTAGTAAAGGAATAAAAGCAACGGTAGGCAACCGAATGTTAGATTTGATACATTTTCAATCAATTTCACACATTTCTTTTCTAGTGGAAAGAGCGTGTACATGTTATAAAAGAAACAGTCAAAACAGTTAAATGTGCGGTTGAGTGGACACAGGTAAGAATACTAAAATAGACTATTGTAAAAAAGAATTGTTATGTGTTTTCTTTCTAGTCGATGGGAAAACTCGCTCAAGCAGCTGAAGATGAAGCTAATGAAAAAGAAGCATTAAATGCTGATAAGCAGACACCTTTTCAACATCACTCTGGGCACTTAGAGTATGAGGGATACATTCCTCCTTCACAACCGGAAAATAGCAGTACATCCGGTTCCGCTGAAACTGCTACTGCTTCTTCTCAGCAACAACACGCCACAACAAGTGCAGGAGCAACAAATAGTAAACTTAAAGTAAGCCAGTCAAAACATTCGTCAGTAAGAGCGAATACACCATTGACACCTGAAGAAAAACTTAAATTAGAGTCTGACACAGCAGCAAAAAGTATGGAAGCATTATGGAGAGCAACAAAATTAGAGATAGAGTCAATTGAACGAGATGTTTGTGAAAATGTATTAGGTGATCCATCTGTGACGAGAGAAGTAAGACGTCGAAGATGTGATGCTTTGGCAAAAATGGGAGAGTTATGGGAAGCGGCCGCTGAACATTAAAGACATTTTTGTTTAGTTTTATTTCGTACGCGTTCTTTCTTTTAATTCAGTTTTTAAGTATTTATTGTTGAAGAATATTATTTTTGTTCATTAACAGTTATTTTTGTTGTTGTTCTCTCTATTTTTTTGTTTTGACTTGTCTTTTGTATGCCGAATAACAAAAAACCTAGTTTTATAATTAAACATATACAAATGTAATTCTTCGTTCTTGCTGAGAATTTAATTTGTGTACATTGATTGTATATAATCCTCAGAGTAAAGATATACAAATCCGAGTCGTGATTCAGACTGGAATCCAGGTTCAAAACAAAAGACTTGGTAAATTGACTTGAGTCACTGTCAAATCGGTCATCTGAAATTTTTGATTCATATGACGGTATTTATTATATTTATTCTATACGAGAAGAGGGCAAAATTGGAGAATATTCCACGTAAAGTATCTCGTCGCATGACAAGACTGAAGATTTAGAAACAGAATAGAAGTGAACTGAAAGCTGTTCTTGGTAAAATGAATCAATGAGAGATTTACCTTTAGAAAATAACTCAAGATAACTTCAGTCAATTTCTGATGCAACTTGGATACTTATACTTATACTTGAAGCCTTCTGACTCGGACTGGAAAAAGTGATGACTCACCCATCTCTGCCTCACAGACAGCGTAAAAAGTCAAACGTATGTTATAGTCTAAATTCAGTCGATCTAAGAAGTATTTTTTTTGTTGAAAAAATGATGTATTCCGAGATTAATTTTATGGGTTCTGTCTGTTTAGATTTTATTCACTATGAAGATGTTATTCACATTTCTCATACATGTGCTTATTAAATGTACAATGTACGAGTGTTAATATCCATGTTTGAATCCAAATGCAACATCCACCATCGTCCTCGTCACCATTATGTTGTTTGAAATGTCAAAGTTTAAAATCATCATCGAAGAATATTGATCATTTATCATCATGTGACATATGTTGGAGTTACTTGTTAAATAATTCAAATATTAACAATCTAAATATTTCACATATATTTACTTTATTAAGAACGTGGAATGACAATATTAAACAATATTTTGGTAATTTAATTCTATTGGTACGATTTCTCTTTTACTGTAGCAAGAAAATATTGACGGCTTGTGATTTTATTTAAGGCGCTTGAAAAAGGTGCAAATGTAAATGATTATGATTTATTATCGGGTATGAACTTATTGATGTTTGCATGCAAATTTGGTGCGTCAAAATTACAAAATGAATATAAAGCAGCTCGTATAGTCGATATTTTAATTGAAAAAGGTATATAAAAATATTAAGCATCGTTTTTGATATAATCGCCTTTTTCTTTAGGTGCCAACATATCTGCTGTTTGTCTATGGTGTAACATGAATTGTCTTCATATCATCTCGTTTTTTGATTGTCCTGTTGTTTGTCAACAACTACTTCAATATCCTGAAACACAGTCAAGTAAGATAAATTGTTTCACTAGTTAATAAATATTCTATCTTGTTTTGTTCTTTAGTTATAAATAGTCCTTGTCCGATATTTCATAATGGATCTGCATTGCATATTGCATGTTTATTCTTATCGGTCAAGATAGTAAAAATGTTGTTAATGGCTGAAGCTGATAAAACAAAATTAGACGATGTGAACCGTACACCATTTGGTATAAAAAAAAAAGAATATTAAGTGTAATGACATTATTTGCGATTTCTATTCATTCAGATTGTATACCTAATGATAATAGTTTGACAAATATAAACGATAAAAGTTTAGCCAGTAAAATACGTCGTATCTTACTCAATTATGAGAATGTAGAACTTTGTCAACTTGACAACCATCATTCGTTTATTAGCCAAGATCAATGTTTAACGTCACCATCACCATCACCACCAGTAAACGTAACAACAACGTTGACAAATAATTTCAATATTGGAGATCGTGTGTCAATCAGAAACGGAAGGGTAATCGATAGTCTTCCATTTTTCTATTTAATGCGACATAAAAGTACATCAATTAACTCTTTTTCCTAATTTTCAAAGGATACAATGGATGTCGGTATAATTAGATATTTTGGCAGTGTTCAATTTGGATCGGGATTATGGTATGGCATCGAATTGTCTCAACCAAATGGAAAACATGACGGTTCCGTTGGAGGTGTAAGATATTTCGGTTGTGATCCAAATAAAGGTAAATGGGTCAATATTTGATTGCACAGACTTTCTTATTTTTTTTATATTGAATTTTAGGGACATTTGTTCATCAGTCATCTTTAAGAAAGGTTGATAATCAATTAATTTCTTCGTCAATGTCAATTTCACCTGTTCGTGAAAGAAGATTTCGTCCCATTAATTTTCCAACTGTTGATACATTAAATGTGCGAAGCAAGGTTGATTCAGGTATGTAATGATGTCATTTTAGTATTATCTACTTTAACAATTCCTTTTTTTTTCTTAGGTTTAAGACGTCAAACTTCAGACGAAAAAGAAGAGTTTCAAGTTAACGACCGTATTCGCTTAACAAAAAATCGTACAGGTACCATTCGATATATTGGTGAAACCTCATTAGGACCAGGTAAAGCGTTAGAAACTGAAATGTAAATGAAAGAATCTATTCTCATTCAATTGCTTGAAGGTACGTGGTACGGTATTGAACTTGATCAAGCAAACGGCCTTCATGATGGGTGTTTATTTGATGATGTGAGATATTTTACATGTCGACCAAATCACGGTGTGTTCGTACGGGCAAATTTCGTGAAAAAGTAACAAATTGAAAAAATTTTGTAGCTAATTGTTAATCAGTTTTTTCATCATTTATAGGTTAGACCATAGATATGAAAAATCAAAATCTAATCGTCTAACCCATTCGCTATCGAATTCGTTAGATAGAGAACAATCAAAAATAAGAACAAAAACATTTTCTGGACACAACACTGACACGAGTAAAAAGTTACTTCTATTTATGGTAAAAATCCCAAATTTTGTTTTCCTTACATTTTAGTGATATCATCAAGTATCATTGATGATGATTTGTTTAAGTTATCGATTACTGAGTAAGTATATTGAAAGATATGTCACTGTTTCATACATCCGAACGTAGTTCTTTTCTAATTTAGTGATCCCTTCTCTGACAATAAGACCTTTTATGATATTGGCCAAACTGTTTATTGCCATAATAAGCAGGGTAATTAAAAATTTTTTGGAAATCAGCTCTTACCTTTTCTTAGTATATGAGAGAGAGAGAGAAGAGTGAAAATTAATTAGCGAATTAATATTTTAAATTTCTTTCCATTTTTTAGCCATAATTCGTTACATTGGTTCAACATCATTTGCCGATGGAGTATGGATTGGTATTGAATACTGTTTTGAAGCTATTGGTAAAAATAATGGTTCCGTTAATGGAAAAACCTATTTTAGTTGTAAACCAAATTATGGCTTGTTTGTCAGACCAAATAAATTAACATCAACTAAACAGAAACAATAATCGTATTAGACAAATCTCGATGATATTAAACGAAGTAACTGTACTCGACATATAAATATATATGCATTTTCTCAAAAAGTTTCTTATTCATTATTAAATGAATAAAACAAAAGAAACTCACTGCTCATATATCCCACCAGACTTTTTACATTTATTACTACTGTACATGGCAAAAACTCAGGAATATCTCAAAATTTTTTTAGTTTGCAATAAACTGTGATATATTTCATCAGTATTATTTTATTTCATACGATTTTTTTATATATTTCTTCTCTCATTTATTCCCAAGTAACACTATTTTCAAAATTGTTTTAATTAGCTCATTTATTTGTCATTCTCTTTATTAAAAATATGCTTAACTGTGATGTTTCATTTAACGTATTCTAGTTTTATATTAGTATTGTAGTAGATTCATCAAAATTTTTCTTATAAATATGAATCTTTTCATCTGTATTTAATATAAAATAAATCAAATAATTGTTTCTATCAAGTTTAAATATCACGTTTTGTGTGTGCTTTTCAATCAAACTTTTCTTCTTTAACATTTTTGTCATGAATTATTCTAGATAATGACATCGTCCGAAATAGAACGAGAAAACTTTTCTAAGGAAACAACTAATATTGTCAATAAAACATTTTCATCTATTAAATTCGTATGTAATGCATCTCTTTCATTTGACAGTAATTATTAAACAGTTTTGTTGTTAACTAGGACAAGAATTTGCGAAGTGGAACACAAATACAACAACCATTTTATAGTAAAATTCATACGGTGGATACTCGTTACAATCTATTTGATCAATTTGATTCAATTATTCAAAATATAAAAGATATCCATGTCGAATGTGGTGAAATAATTGAATTTGCAAAAAATAGTGAGTATTCACTCTTTTATCAATGAATGATTAAAAGATTTATATGGTTTTTTTTCTTCTGCAGATTTACTTTTATTAGAGAATATTATCTGGTTAATAAAATCTCAGACAAGTGACATTCAGAAGGCCTTAATAACACAATTATTACAATTTTGTACGTATTCATCACTAACAACCCGACCAGTTATTTGAGGGGTGCGACAAGTACTCAAAAACAGATCCTCGCCGAGGGTTCGAGCTCTCGGAAAATGATACTTCAGACCCTCGATATAAGCTTTCGAGGGATATTGATTTCGAGCCCTCGGATTTTAGATAGGTAGCGAGCCCTCGAGAAAAATTTCGAACTGTCGAACAGAGATGTTCGGTACTTCCGAGTTCTCGCTCGCCCGAAGGTGCGACGAAGGCTCAGAAGTCCCGAACATCTTTGTTCGACAGTTCGAAATTTTTTTCGAGGGCTCATTACCTATCTAAAATCCGAGGATTTGAGCCCTCAGTGAGGGCCTGTTTTCGAGTAGTTGTCGCTCCCCTCGAACGACTTTTTTCATCTGCATGGGAATAGAACTTGATTCTTTTATATGCGTTATTTTTAGGCTGTTGTCATACAAATAGTGAAATACGCTTTATGACTGAAAATCTTCTAAAATACCTACACGATGATGTAAGAGTATTAGTCCACTTTGAATTCAAATCGATTTCTCCTGTGTATTTTTTTTCAGATTACGATCTGGCCATTATCGATGAAGTTTATATTTGGAGCATTACATAGTGCAGGTAGACGAGTGATCAACTTATTGAAGTTAATTTAATGAATGGTTATATTGAAGGTGTAAATGGAGAAAAACTTTATGATTTATTAAACATCGTGCAGTTAACTAATTTCGACACAGAGTAAATATGTTCCTTCTAATTAATAATGTATATTTCAACTATTTTTCGTTTGTTACAGTTTATTATTGAAAAACTGTTTAATTCCCACAACAAGTAAAGCATCCATAAACGATATTTTATTAACAATTAAACGTGTGTATCGAATTATACTAGCCGTATCGTATTTTACAACAGAAAAGTAAGAAAGACTAGTTAAAAATGATTTTAATATGTTTATTGTTCTAATTTGTAGAGGCAATAGATTGTCTGATGATGAAAATCTAACATTATTTGTCATTGGACATTATTTAATGCTTGATAAACGTTTTATTGATATTAATATTATCGAATATGGACGAAGACTTATGGCTAATTCATTATTGTATTTAACACCAGCTTATTGGGCTGAAAAAGTAATTAATTAGATTTCTTAATATAGTGTCAAAAATTATCATATCTCTTTCCCTATTCTCAATTTAAAAAGTATAAAATAGTTTAAATACAATAATCAACAGTTTAATTTATTTTTTATTCTTAGCGTAATTTGATAATCTCATGTATGCTCGGTTCAACCAACCATATGTGTCTTATTGAATCATTATTGAAAACAACTGATCGTACAATTTGGTTAAGATCACAAATTGCTTTTCTTCAGTTGAAACATCTAGTCAAATTAGAAAGTAATGATAAGAGAAACGAAGTATGTTAAATCACCTTATATATGTCACAAAAATTCAAAATATTATTTTCGTTTTAGATAACAATTTTGGAAAATATTATCGAAAATAAATTGAATCTAAAATTATTCGATAAAGAAATTGATTTTATTGATGCCATACGTTTAATATCAGAAATAGTCGATAGTTATCCATTTGAACAAAAAATGGTAAATTTCAATTGGCGTCAAAACGAAATATTTTTGTTTTATTTTATTTTTCTAGACATTTCTTTGTGAATTACATGAAAAACTCGTTCCATATACTGCAAAAACACTTGAAAAAATGATGGAGGATCAGGTTCGTCTTTTTTTAATTAGTCTTTGTATTTCTTAAAAATCATATCTTTATTATCTATTATTCTCTAGCATCATTTATTAATATTTGATTATTGTAAAATGTGGGAAACAATGTTAAATCCTGTATTGACAAAAGACGATTATTTTTTACTTGTTGATAAACGGTATGTCATTTATTAATGTCTCTGGTATGTTTTATGTCTTTCTCTTTTCTTCATTTTTAGAGATAATACTACAACAAGTGTGCTTGATAACAATCAAAATTTCACAAGCTCTTAATATTTTTTATCAATGTATAACATTATTTTTGTATATATGTTACTTATTGTCAAATAGATTAATTGTTTTTATGTTATTGAAAAAAAATAAACTTAAATTGTTATTTACAATTAGTTCCTGTACAAGAAATACAAATTTGCAACATATTGTTCTTTTTGATCTATAGTTGTCATTAACTCATACTGCTTCTTTGTTGAAGAAAATATTTATTTATGATATCAAATGGTACTATCAAAACATCCATAAAACATAAATCGCTTGGTGATAGTATAGAAGATATAGATATAAATGATAATAGACGTATATTGATCATACTATGGCGCGTATTATCACATTTAAAAATAATGTGTATTTTCAAGTTGATGATTTTTTCAATAATTTTCTCGATATTAATCTATGGTGCGAAAATCTTGGTACAAGATGTTTGTTCATTTTACGAACGCTTATGAGCAAAGTTGAAGAGCCAAAAGCAGTCAATTAGAATCAGAATTTTGTGCTCTTTCCGAATATATGTTCAGATTTTCTTTCTGACTTAATGTTGATTAACTGTGTGCAAATGTTTGAAAGGATCAAAACTGAACTCTGTACGGAAAATTTGTGGTCTACTTTTGGTCTATGTTTTTATTTTCATTAAAACTTACTTAACTCAACACATGGAACATCCTTTAAAAAAACAGTTTTGTAGAGCAAAATTTTTGCTATAAAGTTACTCTATCTACGTTTCTTTTTCTCTGGCGAAAATGGTTCAAATTTAGTCATTATAAAAGGGAAAGTTTTGAAAAATCGATTTTTCGACAGAATCCCGTTTTACGTAGAAAGTAGCTCTCAGAAAAACTTTTATAATTTTTGATTTTCTTGAGTTGTAAGCTACTGCAATACCACATTTTGTAGAGAATTAAACGCTCTACAATAATACTGAGTGCGAACTGCCTTGAAATACATTCAGCACAAGCTACAGATTATGCAAAAACTCCTGTTTTTCTCTGTACAGACCTCATTTTTGGCCCTTTCAAACATTTGCACACAGTTAATCAACATTAAGTCAGAAAGAAAATCTGAACATATATTCGGAAAGAGCACAAAATTCTCCAACTTTGCTAATAAGCGTTCGTAGAATGAACAAACATCTTGTACCAAGACTTTCGCGCCATAGGTTACCAGTAGTGTTCGCCATAATGAACATGTAGTTTTTGCTGATATAACAGCAGTTAAAGAATTAGAAAACGATTAGAGAGATTTATTACAAAAATTTCGTGCTAAAATTTTTTACTTGTATTTAGTAATTTGTTTTCTAATATTTTAAACATAAATCGATGAGCTTCGTTCTTTTTTGATAGAACTGCAATTTACATGTAGAAAGATGGATACTAATCGAGAATAACAAAAACAGTTAGCAAAATTACATTGTTAGTTAAAGATTTATGAAATATTAAGTAAAATAATTTTTCATCGATAGAGAAAATTGATAAAAAAAATATCGTGATTGTTTTCTATTGTAGCATTGAATCCGATGGATGTCAGAAAAAAGCAAATGAAAATATGAACTGTTTAATGAGAAAGGTATATGATACACCAACTATTACGATAATATTTTCAATTATTATTATATTTATTTTAGTTACAAAAACTAACGGTTGAAATGTCTCCTTTTTAAAAAATCTAATAACAAGTTTTGAATAGATCTCATTTAACATAGTTAACGGTTTATTCATCAGCTGCACAATCCTAAAATCGAATTTTTTACACCGTCACTGAAAGTTAGTTCCTTAATTAAATGTTGTATGCAGAGAAAAATTACAATTCGACTACCCGCAAATACCTATCGATCATTTACATCAAGAGTCAAATGTATAAAAAAAAATAGATAAAGTTATTTTGTTTTTATGAAAAATCAGCGTCAAACATCAGCACATCAGCTGAGGTTTATACGACGAACGAACAAGACGTGTAGAAAACGATAAATTCAAATTTTAGAACGTCTTGTAAAGGTTTTTAAAAGAGGGATATTCTATTATTTTTCTATAATTCTTTTATGCTTTTAAAATGGCAACTACTTTTTTGCTAAGTAGTTTTTTATTAAATGCTTAAAGTTAATTTTTGTTCATTCCTGCTTTAGTAAGCTATATTTTTGTGTGCCCAGGGGCGGTTGCGGGGGAGGTGTGTGGAGAACATGAGAGTGAGCCACTAAACCACATTTCTGCAAAAAATATAATTATTTTTAATAAATTACTTAGAAAAAAATAACCTTTTACTTAGCATTTAAATGGGAGCCTTTTGAAATAGATCAGTCAGTATTGAGTAATCCAACAAGCAACGCTATGTCGAAACGAAAACTGAAATGAAAAAAGTTACAATAGATACGCGAGTATCGATGGACTCACCGAGTGCAATTAGGCCCGTAATCATACTAATACCATGTTTAACAGAAAAACTAACTGTTTATATATTATGTCATCAAAAGAAAAAGTAGAATATAAGTCTGACAACTGAAAAACCGATTTCAATTTATAGAACTGACGAATGAGCCTCTTAAACTTAGTGGCTTGTCTATTATAGAAGCCTTTCAAATACATGTATACGAAACTTATGACGGATACAGAGACATTAAGACCGAATCGTTTAGTATACAAAGAAGATATTGACGACAATATTCGTATACATTGGGCTACTAATTTCCACAAAATTAAACTTAGCGGATAAACTGAATTTAAGATAAATTTTCACTCTAATACCTTAATCAAAACATGGACTTACTAGTTACAGAATTATCTCTAAATTTTCTCGTGCTTTTTAACGAGATCTATATTTATATCCGGTGTTTGATGTTAAAAAATAACAACATCTATGAATTATGTAGAAAACTGTTCAAACGACCGCATTGACATCACGAGACGTACACCTGTTTACCTGTGGTCTTACCTTTATCATAGCCAACATAGAAGTTATGTTTTTTTAGAAAATTTATTCTATCAAAATAGAACGTTGTGTCTCTATCCTAAACAAATTTGAATTAATATGACAACAATTCAGTTCAAATTTGCACAAAGAAGAATGATGATGAAACTTCGTATCATCGTATAACTAAAACGTACAAATATCACAATGAATATACTTTTGACAATAGCAAGTAGTGAAAATTTTGCTAGTGCTAAACAAATCGTTTGTAGAAAAAGAAAGATAATAATCGGTAATGTATAGAAACTCCGGGCGAGTTGTGGTAATTTATACCATGCGTACAATGGTAACTGAAGAATGAATAATAATTCCAACCAATTATCAACATACCATAATTGTAATAGACAATACATTGGAATAGATAAACAAATATAAGCAAACATTATATTTCCTATAAAACCAAATTTAAATGCTATAGCAAATACTATTCGATATAATTTTAATAGTAGAATAAGTGCGAATGTTGTCGCTGTTCCACGAGAATTTAAATGTTCAATAATAAGTGTTCGTATCCAATTTGTTATTGGTGATAAAAAACTAATTGTAATCAAAAAACCTGAGGCGATCATTTTTGTTGGAAATGAGAGTGTAAGGAGAATATAATTGATCGTATAATTCATTGACATTTTAGGATCTTTTATAAATGTTAAACAACCGGTAACAAAATTGAGTGTCCAACACATAAATGGTATAACGAGCCCGATTAAACAGCATATAATTAACAATGTTAAAAATAGTCGTGTATTCTTTTGACGAGATAAAAATTTTCGTTTACCGTGTAAAATGATCAAATAAATAAATAGAAGAAGAAATATGATTGTGATAATTCCCGAATAATTCCACACATTACTCTCGTTGCAAAATAAATCCCACACAGCTATGTTTGTTTTTGCCTCGCTCATCGGTGATCTAAATTAGACAAATAACAATAAAAACAAACAAATTATATGGGAACATCGACAGACAACATTCTAAATTAACTTCGATCTTTTACTTTATTAAACTTCAGATTTGTAACATGTAACTGTGTAGTACTGTTAAGGATGAGTGCTAACAAGAAGAAGCACGAGTGGAAAGGGCAAAAGAAATTTCCGAAAAAATTATATGTAGAAAGGTGATAAGAACCAAAACAAAAGCATGTGAGGGCATACTGATCGGTACGAGTTCGGTAGTGGTACACATCAATCTATTACAGGTGACACAATATTTCATGTACAGTCGTGCGTATGATCAATGCCGAATTGATTTGTGTCCTTAGAGTATTAGATTTTTTTTTAGAATCCTCTCATCATAAATGGAAGCGATCAGAAATCCTCTTGGAAGGTCAACAGGTCAACCGGATCAATATTGTTTTTGCCAACCTGTTATTTATCGATCTAAGACAGTTTTGTGTAAATACATTATGAGTTTCTCGTTTTTCAAGGCAAGTTTTTGTAGGGAAATGTTTTCGAATATGTTTTGAAGGTTTTATGCGTAGAGCTTAAAAATTTTCTTTTTTTATATACTTCAGAAGTATCAACACGATCTTCGCCCTCCATTTACAACCTTAGATAGATCTGTGTTAGGATTAATTCTAATACACATAGTTAAAATATAGAGAGATTTACTTCTGTAGTAGATGTACTATACGTTCTTTCAACTGCTACTCTTCTTTTTTCACAGAAGCTATACATATGCGTTGAGAAAGAAAAGCTGAGAAAGTTGACACAATAATGATAATAATGATATTCTTTCCTCACTATATCGGTGGAATTTAGAGAGAAGATAAAAGTATAATGATCATATAGTATAAAAAATTTTCTTTTTCATAATATAAGTCAATGAAATTCTATCCTTTTTTGGAAAAAATTCAGAATCTTTGACCGAGTTGACCTGTCATCGATATTAGTTCTAACTAGGGCTTTTATTTAAATATCATTTTTCTAAATTAGGTACTACCATGCATCTATTCTTTTCATTCCTATACAACTAGAACAAGTATCTAGACGCCTGCCAGAGATATGATGCGACAAAAAACAAAAACAGCTAAATAACTTCATCAAGGAAGAACAGTTTAAATAAATATCTCTTTCGTGTTTAAGAAATGATGAAAGATGGAAACATCCATGGTACGATCGTTGAAATATTCTGTCATATCTGCGCGTCTAAGCACTCAAAAACTTTATCTTCACACAGCAAGTTCATGCTCAGAACATCTATCAAGAAAATAAATTAAATGCAAATCAATACTATACAATCGTCTGAAAAAAGCTTTATCATATAATTTCAGCAGTGTAATTTTCAAAATTTAATAAAAAAGCCAAACTGTTTAATTCGTCAGATATCAACGAATTTTAAGTAAATGATTATAAACAGAAATTAGTGAGCAATATTTTTAAAAACATTATTTATCATAAAAATTTGTTAATTACAGAAATTACATGGTGGATTAATATTGACATATTATAACGAACATTCATCGAAACATAATTTCAACCATATTTATTATATGTAAGTTTCATTATATTTGTTTCTAATGTGATATTGCATGGTTGAATCTGGAATGTTCAATAGGGATGCGGTCGATGTTTATATAATTCAAAGTGTGTTTAGATATCACTGTTCATTGACTTCTTTACCATATTTTGTGAAGTTGTAGTGTCAATCCGAGTCTTCATTGTAGAATATATAATAACGGACAAAACGTAGAGAAAAGAATTTTAATGTATTTGGAGCTGGTAATAAGGTAGTAATGCGCATTGCTTGTAATATTGCACTTGGAAGATTTGGATGAAAGAAACCAGAGTCAATCATATTTTAAGATAATTAACACAATCCATTTAAGTATCAGTTTTTCTCGAAACAGTGTTTTAAGGTCAAAGCATATTTTGATTCGATCATCATATACAAGATACATCAAACCGAATATCATTTGAAGGCTTTCTGTTCTGGATACTCTACATCATTATTAGACCATTTCCATCCTACACAAATCACTTTAAGTACAAAATCTTTCAGTTCTTTTTAACACTATATTCCACAACAAGGTGTTACTCATGACTCTAGATGTCAACTCCACTTTGAGACAAACTATTGTCAGACTTTATCACTCTTGAAAAGAGAAGTTGTTCTGAAACTAGCTCGTAGAGCGTTTCATATCGTTGGCTTCACTAATTCAAAGTATTTCCAAAACGTCACATTTTCTCGAAATAGAAATGGACACAAAATGATCAATAATTCTCTACGCTATCTTCACTAACGTTTCGTAAGCTTTTAAATAAAAGAAGGACTTTTTTTTATTAACCTGTGTACAAAACAAATAAAAAATAACACTCAAAGTTTTTGTCAAACACCGATACTCTGATATTGCTGATAGGCTTTTTGATGATTTAATTTTAACAAAAAACCGAGTTGTCGACCTGGTCCACACTCATATGTATATGGAAATGATTCATTTTTTGATCGCTGATATATTTTATGAATAATTTGCTCCCAAAGAACACTTTTTGTTAATTGTCGGCTAAGATCACGTTTGATGCTTATAACATCTTTTGAGTGTGCTTTTCCGCTTATGTTTGACATAACTTGAATTATGGGTGGTTTCATATTAATTTTATCTAATACATTAATTAATTTTAGTTTAGCTGATTGCATTAACGGTGTATGAAATGCACCGCTAACCGGTAAATATTTAATACGACGAATATTGAACTCTTTGTAATTGTGAGCAATAAATTGTAATGCCTAAATAAATGCAAAAAGAAATATATTTACTCTAAAATATTTGTTAGTCGTTCTTACTTCTTTATGTCCAGCCAGTACTTTACATTCTCCATATAGGTGATTTGCCACTTGAACAACGGGTTCATCAATTTTCATATATTTCTGACACCATTCTCTTGCTGCCTCCATTGCCAGTCCTAGTTTTGTTTCATGACCAATAAATACTGACATCATACCGGAATTAACTTCATTTGATGCTGTCTGCATGGCTTCAGCACGTGCTTTTATTAAGCGAAGACCTGTAACAACAAAAAATATTTTCAGACACTTTTATTATTTTATCTGATTAACTATTACATACCATCTTCGTACGATAAACAACCGCCAAATGTTAGCGCTGTTATCTCACCGACACTAAATCCGGCTGTCACTACGCAATTTTCCACAGCCTAAAGTGAGATTTTGTGCAATGAATGATATACATTAACCAACAAATGGTATGGTACCTGTTGATTTTCACTTTTTAATCTTTGCACTGCAGCTAATGATGTGACATAGATAGCTGGTTGAGCATATATTGTTTGATCTAAATCTTCTTTTGGACCCTCAGTACATTTTTTATACAAATCATAGCCTAATATACTATTGGCGATATTAAACATTTCTTTAACACTTGGATAATCCACAACTAATTTTCCCATGCCAACAAATTGTGTACCCTGACCAGGAAATAGGAGAACAGATGTTGTAGATGGATCTATATTTGGTCTGATCACTCTATCAGTATCATCCATATCTTGTTGTTGCTCTTCATTCAATTCTTGTTTGTTCGAAGATATTCCAAAATTATCAACAAAATCATCAGAAATTTCCTTTCTATTTGAAAATAACTTTTTTTGTTTTTCAAGTCTTGCAAATTGCTCTTGAACAGGTGATTCATCAATATTTTCGGTCGATTCAAAATCTTCATAACTTTCATTTTTGTCGTAACGTTGTGAATGACGGGCACTACGTGTCAGTAAAACTGATGAGCAATGAAATGAACGAACGATTGATACCGATGTTGGTGAAAATAATAAAATGGGACGAAGTTTTAATAGACACTTCAAACAGACAGTGTATGTGTGTGAAAGCATCTAAAAAAATACGAGTCAAATAAATAGGATCAATTATTCTAATCCAAACTTATGAGACGAAAACATGCGTATAAAACAGAATTTAATGTTTATGATCTCTAATAGTTTAATTATAAGAAAAATTGAACTTGAAACATCTGTATCTCATGACTAAAAAATAAGATCTTTTTATCAAGGAAGACCAATACATTCTTGGCAAACATTAGTAAAACCATCGTTCTTTTACTCATCAAAATTTGAACTTTTAAAACGGAATTATTTTTTCTTCCGTCTGAAATCTTGGTAATCTCCGTATTTTTCTTTTCCCAAGATAAATATGGTACAAAACGTTAAGAAAATCCTTCGCTTCATAGACCTATACTCAGTTCATTCTTACATAACATACATTTCAAAAAAAGCTCGTAGTTATCTGTTTCAAAGGTGCACTGAAAATTTGGTTAAAAACTTTTTTTATTATAAATTTAACATATAACTATTAGTATATAAAATCCATGTAAAAAACTATACGAAATAGCATAAAAAATGAGTAAAAAATAATTGAAACGTATCTTTCAAGAGTACGATGATCACAAATCATTCAGATAATTGTGCCTATTACTCGGTTTACTGTTTAAAGTAAAAATGGTTTGAAGATACAAGTATTCTTTTTAATTAATAGAGTGAAATAACTCTCAGTAGAATGTGTATCTGACTTGTCGGAGAAAATAATTGATAAATCTAATTATTGCATATCAGTTCTTAAAAATCAACAATTTTTATATGAACAAATATTGTTCCTCTAATGTAGTCTCCATCTTTTGATTGTAATTTAATATGTCTATAACCTAATTGCAATGACTGAAAACGTAAACAGTATTGACCAATAAAATCAGATCGACTATATTTATCTTGATCTTTAACAACAAATTTAACTAAACATAATTCTGGACAATAGACATCGAACGACATTTTATAGTCCCAAATTGGATTTAAGCCATTATTTTTCACCTACGTAAATAAAAACACAGTTCTATAAGAAGCCTTGCACATCTCACAGCTAAGTAAGTTTTGAAGCTCTTAGTGCACGAACGACAAGCTATAATAAGAATTTTTTTTGTTATCTATATCCTCACCAATGGTGTACGTTCGTCATGACAATCACAGTCTAGTCCATAAATATAAACTCTCACAAATGGATCAATAATGTCTTTGTCTTCGATTGACTTCTCTTTAGGTAGATGCTGACCACTTATAATCCGGATGGTTAACTTTTTTCCTTTACTAAAAGATCGATCTTTTGGATCAAAAGTTGGTTTTATTGTTTCTGTTTCATCTGCAGTTGGTAAAAGGATCGAAGGCTTTAATAAATAACCACATGCACAATTATCGCGAAAAAAACCATAATGCAATGACATAGATTCATCATCTGCTTGAAAATTGAGAGCAACCATCTGCGCACCATATAACCAGAATAATACAGGATGTAGATTACTAGAATCTTGACGGTAGGACGATGGATAAATTCGTACAATTTGTCTTTCAGTTAATCGTATTAAATCTGAACTATCAGAAGAATATTTGATAAATTCAGTTGCTTTTGATTCTTTAAATGATATCGAATGATAACAATGTTCTAAAGCAAACGAAAACAACGTTATACGCAATGACCAGAGATCTTCGCTGGCAGTGGGAAGGGGGTTCTGATTGTTTTTAGTCAGCATGGGTAGATTTTTCTGGCAGATAGTCGTTCTAAAAAAGTCGATAGACAGTTCTTTTAAGCAAGTGAAACATTTGTGTGTATACACCAATATTTGGCGAACAAGGTGAATTTAAATGACCGTCTGCCAGTTATTTCGATAGGCAGCTTATTGGCTTGTGGGTATCTTAAATCAGCTTCTCATAACCGTTGTTATTCTCTTACAGTCTGTCAGGTCAAATATTTGCAAGATAATTGCGATATTTGTTGTACTCATAAAAAAGTTCGACAAATTTTTGGCAGTACAAAATTTGAAAAGTCTAGAGAACAGGTTCAAAGTTTAGAGTGAGATTTCTCACTTTCTCATCCTAATCGGAAACCTTGTTCATCTTCAAGTTTTATTTAACGAGATTAACTTACGAGTCGATATTGAATGTAATATATCTGTAAAGGAGACTATTTGTGAGTAGATAACCAACTTGGCGAACTCTGGATGGATATGCTAATAGAAAAAAATTTAATAAAATAAGATAAAATCAAGTGCTCGAGATCTTTTTCTTACTTTCGGCGTGAGAGACGTTTCATCATTACTGTTATTTATCTTCGGATCAGCTATAGTCTTTCCTTTAGGAGAACGACGACTCTTGAAAAAAAAAGATTAATCCACACGATTAACACCACATTTCTCTGACTTACTCGAATAAGTATCTTGTATTTCAAATTTTCCGGGGATGGTAATACAGACAAATCATTTATTGGTTCTGTTAATAAGTATTCTAAACAAAAATGAAGAGAAAGATAACTGATAATAATAACACTTATGAACATTTACCTTTTAGTATAATTTTTAATAATACAGCCAGCACTTCTTGTTGTTCATAAGAACAATGATTCTCTATGTTCAAAAATAATGGATAACTAAAACAGAAAAAACACGATATTACAACGATAAAATGAAATAAAGTTGCATCAAGATACATACGGTGAGTATACAAAAGCATTGTCTTTTATTGCAATGAGAATATCTTCAAATTCAACAGGTTTTGTAAATGTTTTTCCATGATATACAATCGGTTTATGGTTGTCCCCATCGTAGCAATCAACTTTTAAACGAAGAAAAATATCATAGTTAATAATAAACTTAATAATCATGGCAAAATTTCTTACTTTCTACCGATCTACAACCCGATCTCAATGCGCGAACATATGTTTCAGGAGTACACTCTCCGTATACTTGACTATCGCTAATGTATCTGTCAAAAAAGATAATAAATATGGAAAAAGTTTTTATTAGTCTCATGTTTGTTCGACTTACGTATTATGACTTGTGGCAATAAAATAATCAGATAATGGTCGCGTCATATCATGATAAACTTCATTCGCATGATGTGGATTCATGATACAAAATTCATCATGAAGAAGCATTAAGCGTAAACCATCGATACCCATCTCTTCACATTGTTTTCCTTCGATTGATGGTTCAAATCGCTTAATTAGTTTTGAGCAATCATCAATTGATATTGTTTTCATATGTTGTTCATTTTGTAAAAAGTCTTTCAATTGTTCGATCGTCAAAAAGTTGTTTATTTCTTTATCATTTCTGTTTTCTTGTCGTTGTTTTTTGGGACTTTTTTTTCTACTTTGCTTAAAATCTGATGATTGTCCTTCTGGTAAAATAGTTTCAGTGAGTATTGGCAGTTTACTCAAAATATTATAATTCGCTATTTCTTTATGTTTTTTATCAGTACCATTATATCTAAATGAATAAATTTAAATAATCATCTTGATATAGAAAATTATGTCTCCAAGTCAATAAAAATATTTTTGTAACAGTTATTATTATATAACACGAACAAAACTTACTGACAAATAATTTTTAATAATTCTGGCCTATTTGTTATTAGTTTGTAGAATAAAATAAATTCTTCACGATCTAAATGTGTTATTTCGTGGAATGTTTCCGTTTTTGTATTGGCCAAATTAAAATAATAATCAATGTCATCATTTGGTAGTACGATATTTAAGATGTGCAATAGTCGGCGAATTTCAGAACGATTCAATTGCTTACTACGATGGAGATCAGCTCGGTCGAACAGTTCCCACATCCAGGTATCAGTAATTTCACGATAACTACGCAGATGAAAACGATAACGTTTTATCAAAAATTCTAAACCAGTTAACCATAAATCACGTAATTCTCTTGTGTCAGCTAATAGATCGAGTGATAAACGATTATTGTCATACAATATCGAAAATGCGAGTGCATCCTAGATAAAAAGATAAATTAATAATTAACATTAAACTCAATTCTTTATAGTCACCTGTTTGAAATTGACCACTTTCTTTTTCAAACATTCCTTCCAAACAGTTGTATTGAATCCGATACGAACTTCTTCAATATCTCTGATCAAATCTAAAGAGACCAAAAAATTGAATGCATAAAGAAGAAACGAACTGCGCTTGATTGACATACATGCTCGCTCAGTTTCATTCCGTTTCGATCCAAAATAATCAACAGCATCTTCTGATGTTGTCAAAAAATATATTCTCGAATAACTTCTACCATTTGATTTATATTTAACAAATGTAGTGCGTTTCTTTAAGCTTTGGACAACTGGATTCTTATCTTTTCCGCATTCTTCGCCAACATCTGTTAATCTAAATTCAGAAAAGTTATAAGATAAATACAGCATAACAAAGATAGTTTTATACAGAGTGATAGCTTATAGCAACCGTACTTGCAAAGGTACAATGCACTATACCATTTGGTTTTAAAGCATGGGAAATAGAAACAAGAACACTTCAGGAGAATCGATATAATAGTCCAGAAAGACGATATGAGTTCTCTGGCAGCCTACTTATACCCTATAAATATTAACTAACCACTAGAATGCAAGAGATGCCAGTAATCAAAAATACAGCGAAAGAAAGAAAGATTTATGTAAATAAATAGAAAGTGGAGTATATCTTATCTTACAACCTGATTTTAGATTAACGCTTCACATATATATAGCGAATTAGATGAAACAGATGTCACTTATAGACTGTCTCCATGGGACAATTATACAAACGTCAAGAATCGTCGATTATTTTTTTCTAGAAAACGAACGCGAAGCGAAAAAGTTTTTAGCAATCTTCCTGTTCCAAGATCTAGCTACACCTCTAATACAGAATGAAAAGAGTAAAGAGTTTACTAAACTCCTTAAACCTTATCAATTAACTATACTTAATGGTTTTTTTACTGAGAAACTGATTTTACTGAACTTTTCTGATCGGGTGATAGAAAAATTTACGATCTGGTGACTCAGAAACTCGGTTCAATTCAGTTTCTAAGTAAAAAAAAGGGACAACCTACTACTTAATCAGCAAAACGGTTTTTACCTTTGCCATTGTTTTTCATCCATTATGAGAAATATTTTTAACTACGTAACGTTGTAGATTTTCACATATTCTTCAATTCACAACTTGAAGTATTTAGTAGAATTAAAATAAACCATTTTTTGCTATTACCATTTCATTTTGTTTTATTTGCACAAGAGTAACATAATGTACACCGCTGCTTCTGTTTGCTTGGATATTCCTATGGTTCACATTCTCTTCGATTAAGTAAATAATTCTGATGACTATTTCTACTTCTTCTTACATTCGTTATATTTTATATTTTTTTATTTTCTGTATATTTAATTAATAATAAAAAAAATTATGTAGAGAATAAAACGACACATCAACTATAACGATACAAAAACAATAAAAAAAGAGAATTTTGTCAAGGTATTCCTCAACTATATTTGCTTGATTTCAGGTACTTGTGTCACGCGAAAATAAATTATATAGAAATAAAATTCTTATTAACAATCAAGTAGCAATATGCACGCTAAATACCGTTCACTTGTAACAGTGAGCATACCACAACGTTTTTTGAGGGGATTTCACTTCTCGGATCAGAATAGCAGAAAAATCTTTTGACTTCTCAAGGGATATTCGAAGATCAGAAATGAAGAGTTAGAATCATATTCAAAATCTTATAAAGTGAGCAGATCTGACTACCGAGAAAAGTAGATGTCGTACAATAACGGTTCTGTCTGATACCTTGATGACATATATCTGCTCAATATAGTGAATATATCTTCGGAATGAAAAGGGAATTAGGTCTGGAATATGCAGATAGTTCCTTTCGAAAGATGGACAACATTCTTTGAAGATATACAAATTTAACAAAGTTTTTAAACACTATTACCCAATTTCAATGCAAAAAATTTTATACGTTGGATCAAAATGAATAGGTTATCATTTAACTAAACAAAATGGATCTTCATGCTTTGAACTAAGTATGCCAATACTCGTTTATTCCACCATTTTTACCGACGACTGGATCGTTCTCAGGTACTTTTACCTACAAAAGAAAAAAATCATCAGTAGGGTAGAAGTTGACATTTTAATAATAACTGATCTTAGAAAAATAAAATATACATTGAAGGATAACATCTAATCATTGCACAATTTCAATCATTATGCAGAATATAAGAAAGAATAGTGACGTTGAGTTTTGCAGTTTGTCTACAAAGATCAAGTTCATCTGTTCGATCCTAGCTCCGTGTAAGAATTGATTTTATGTTTTGATAGTTTAAGTTTCAGAATGATACAATAGAAATTTATCACTGGTTGAAGAATACAGTTTAAACCAACTCATACATTTTTTATATTTTCGATTGCTTTGTCATATTCTTCTTTTTTTCCATAATTCATATCGTACTTTTTACCTAATCAAAATAAACGCTCGGTATATTATTTATGTATAGACAAAACGATTACCATAAGATACCTTTCAAATCATAAGCCCCAACAACACTAAAGTTTTTATTCTCAGTTTCATCATTTAAATTTTTGTGACTAACACCGGCAGGAATGAATACACAGTCACCCGTGTTTAGTTCAATTGTTTTTCCTTGCTCACCCTCACCACCAAGTCTCACTTTTGCATGTCCTGAATAACATCCTAGTACTTACTTCATGAGCTGTAGAATGATAATGATGATAATTAAATATTCCCCATCGCCATCCATGCCCAAAACCATTTGTTTTAAATAATTCCTCCCATTGAGTAGGTGATACTTTTCCATCATTACCAAACACTTGCCGATACACTATAACTGGTAAATAATCATTATTCGGAAAATACTCATTTTTATTTTCTTTAACTGTCAATGTTTCAATTTTAACTGATGACATTGTACGAAATGTTTGTATCAATAATATCTGAAGAATATTGGATAAACGTACTACTCCATTTTTGAGCAGCATGAATTTATAACATTAATCTAAACTGATAAATTCAGTCATATAGATAAAATAGACACTCATGAAGAAACGTGTGTTTTGCAAGCAGAATTGATGATAACTATACTAATCGTTCTACTTAGAAGCAGACTGAAAAAAGTTTACTCTAGAAATTAAATGTAAAAACAAATAACGTCCTTCAGTCAAAAAAGTCTCAGTTTATTTCAACTCTTTGATACGAACATTTTCAGTCTATTATGTTCTGTTTGTAAGATTATTAAACTATTCCGTAATATTGTCTATGTCACTGTTTCTTTTTATTGCCATTATGTTTAAAAACTCCTATCCATTGAACAAAATAATCTTATACTATTTATTATATATAACCATTGAAATACGTTTTAAACAGAGTGATTGAAATATGTTTCAATCGATATGTTCATAATTTTCCATGTTTTAACGATTTTTATGTTCAATAATTTCGTAGCCACGTAATTCGTACTATTTATCGCCAAATTTCAAAAAGAAATGAATAAAGGAAAATATCGATCAAGTCTATTTTGAATTCAATTTACCATCGTGAACAAAGAATAATTCTTCAAACAATTTAGTATAACAATCTGATTTTGATAGATCACATATTAGTGTACAATTGTTCTTCAAGGCTGGCTGAAAGATTGACAGTTATAAATACCAGGAAAATTGAACTTCCATGATCGCTGTTATTTGATGGATGATGTTTACATATGTGAGTAGCATCAATAAAATTTGATAAATGATTTGATGAATAACATTTTTGTATATGTATAGTAAAAATCAATTTTTGATAATATTAATGGTGTACATATGTCCATTTGCATCAGTTGAGTAAGATTGATTATTTACCGATAATTTCAACGATTATAAAATAGAACCCCATAAACGGATATGGTATACATTAAATAGAATTTGACGTGTTTTAGATGAGAGAATTGTTCAATCGTGAACATCAGTTGCTGCAATTGAATCGAAATCTGCGACAGTTTTCACAAGTCACCTACACGAAAAACGAATTAAAATGAGCACATGGACAAGGAATATGTTGAAATATTTTTATTTTCAAATAAGTTGACTAAATGGAGAGCAAACGCATGACAATAATACCGAACAGATAAAAAGAGAATATTTTTTCAACGTCGAATGAGTTCCTAGAAAACCCGTGTTCATTCTCAAATAGAAGCTATCCATGTACCAATAACAGCGATTTACATCTCAAATTTGACACACATTCTTCTCTAATATGATCACGGAGTCTTATATTATCGATATAGAATAAAAGTATCCAATAGAAAAATTTATACACGGCTGAATACGACGGTTAAATTGTTACTTTTCAATTGCTTCTTGTAATACAAAGATTCCACGAAAAAAGTACATCTATTTCATCTAATAAAATGCAGTATTCTTCCACAATCGACTATTCAACTACGTAATATGTGAATGATTTTATATAGGAGAGAAGTTGAAAAGTATGTCTAGAAATCTTCTCTTCTTCATACATTGTCTTAATCCATCAATAAGAATCAACTCTAAATACTCAATTGTATATTGAAAGACGAAATCTTCTGTTTTTATTTTTGTTCTCTTGTTTACATGAAGAAAAATACACAATGAATTTTATTCGTTATAACAAACAATAAGAGAAAATAAGCAGAAAAAATATAATATTGTACCCGGCGAAAACATGACAAAAATAATAGATCGCGAGACAAAAAGGATGATACAAAATAACTTTTTTTTACAAAAAAAAAAAAACATCGACTAACTATCTGTGAAAATTCTTATTTAATTGCTGATAGTAATTGTTGCTTAATATCATTTGGACATGATTGTTGATGATCGTTTCTAAACAAAGAGAAACTTAAATTTTTATGATTACTTTAAAAATATCATTAACTTACGCGTGAATAATAAAAACAGAGAGAATATCTTTTGTTGATTTTGGAAGTTCTTGCGATATATTAGCTAAGTATTTATAAATTTTACTCAAATTCTTAACATGGCGACGTCGACGTATTTGTTCATCCTGAAAATAGACGATGTTATACAAAAAATGAAAGTTCAAAAAATATAAACAAAATTTACTTTCACCAAACCCAATGAGACTAATAACTGGTCTGTAAAATTACGTTCAATACTCGATGATATTGATGATGTAAATAAAACTTTTAAAACATTTTCTAAAAATATAAACTAAACAGATAAGTAAACATTGTTATATTGAAGACAAGCGAAACGCACTGGCTATAAGAGTAAAATCATCGGAGGTTAAATTATCATCGTTCCATAAATCAACAAATAAATCCACTGCACGATTAGCTGATTGTTCATTATTCTGTTATTGAACAGAAAAAATTATCACTAATTAACATGCACAAGAATACATCACATATATTTTACCTGTAAGTACTCTTTAACTTTATCCACATTTTTCATTGTTGACCATGTATTAACTTCGCTCTATTAACAACACATGAGTGTATTTATAGAATACAAATATAACAAATAAACATACTTTCTGAATAGATTTTATCGGTACACAAGCAGATAAACCAAAACTTTCAATCAATTTTGAAACATCATCGGTTTGCTTTTGATTTGATTGAACTGGAGCGAAGTGTAATGGAAATATATTTGGACGAATTGTTTCCAATTGTTGTTCCTGATCGACTTCTTCGTCGTCATCTTCGTCCACATCTTCATAATCATCATCATTTTCATCATAATCTTCTCCATTATCTTCCTCTTCTGAGCCATCATCATCGCTGAAATTGGAAAATAGTCGCGATTAGTCTCGCCATGATTGTCCTGTCAATATTTTACCTCAATGACTGAAGAATATTTTTATTCGATAAATTATTTTTAATTTCTTCAATTCCCTCTTCTCCAAAACAGTTACCTAAAGAAAAACATCACTTTCTATATCAAAATGAAATTTCAAGTTACAATAGAAACATGTATCGGTGTGTATTGATTGTTACCATTTAAATCTAGTACTTTTAATGTTGACATATTTTTAACGGATTTTATTATTTCTAAAGCACCATCAACGTGAATATCGTTATAGCTTAACAGTAGTGACTAGAAATAATAAGATAATAGAACATCTAGCAAACAAATATAAAAGTGCAAAGGTAGATTTACTTCAAGATGTCTATGTGATACAATCGATCGTGCAACAGCAACGGCACCTTTCGTTCGAATTAAAGCTGATGAAAGATTCAATATTTGTAATTTTGGTAATTTTTCAATAGATGATGCTAGTTTAGGCGCTGCCATTGTTATTGTGTTATCATTTAAATCGATAACACGTAAATTTGAATTATTTATAAATGATTCGGCTAAAGCGCCAATTCCAGGTGGTTGAATACCGTTTTGAGGTACACAAATCACCTCTAATGTTCCAAGTATCTTCAAGTAATAAATAAACATTGTTTGGCACAAATAAGAGATAAAAGATATTAACTTACGGTAAAGGCTTTTGCTAATGCTGTTGCACCCTCATTCTCCAGACGATTTCTTCCACATATAAATGTATTCAGTGAAAATGTTTGACCACCCGATTTAATACTATTTCGATGGCAATTGATCAACGCTTCAGCCAACATCTTAACAATGAAAATGGTTTAATTTAAAAACAAGAATTTCAACAATCTTCTTTTATTTACCTTTCCACCCATACTTCCCAATCCGTTATTATTCAATCTCAAGTCTTTCAAACTAAAACAACATGATGAAGATAAAAATCCTTCAAGAGCTTTAACACCAATTGGACCAAAAGCATTATCACTGAGATTAATTTCAACAATATGTGAACCATTTATCCGAAGACCACTCGTTAATGCAACCTACAAAAAACAAACAAATTTAAAGATAGAGAGAGAAGTAGAAAGAGTTTCTCAAAAGTCTTACAAGAGCTGGTGGTACTTCTGTTTTTAATCTACTTGTAAATAAATCATTCCATATTAAACGCTAAAAAAGAAAAATTATTTAATAACAAGTTCTAAATTAAATTTTTACTTTGTTTACTTCAATTTCGGGATGTTTTTCTAACTCGATTCCAATTGCTTTAGCAGCCTCTTCACTGATCGTATTTCCTTCAAGACGTAAAGCAACTAATTTTTGACATTTTCTTATTTCATCACATATTTCTTGAACTAAAATTGTAGACATAAAATTTTATTGAGAAAGCAAAAAACAAATCAAATTTATAGTTACCGTCAGCAGTAGTGTTTCCTTTAAGGCCACGATTTGCAAAGGATAATTCATTTGAAACCGCAGCACTTTTTGATAACTGATCGGTCATTGTATATGATCGTTTATTAATCTAAATAAAATCCAAAACAAATATGTCAATGCAAAAATCCACGAATAAGAAATTTATGAACTGCGCGCGTAATACAAGATGAGTTCAAGTTTCCAAGGCTTGGGATATTTGGTAACTAAAAAGCGGTTGTAAAACAGTCTTATCAGGTACGATTTGATAAAAGAATTTCTTTTGATGATAGAACTTTTTCAAATTTCATACGTGCATAAGATAAAGGAACGAATAAACAATAGAGTATGAAGCGTGAATAGTAAATTTGTCGATCTGTACACGTACAAGAAAATATTATTTGAACTGTTCAAAAATCAAATGAAATTTTGTCTGAGGCTAATGTACGAATAAAACAAAAATGCTGAACGTCATTCTGCGTCCCAGTAGCTTAACTTATAGACACAAATTTCTGTCATCTCATTCAGTTAAAACATAAACATGATTAAGAGAAAAATCGAGTAAAAGTAAGCAATACTGTACTTGAATTTAGTTTACTTTCTTCTCTTCTAGAATTTTGCTTTCTATCCATTCAATTCACCGTTTAAACCAAATCAAAGTGGCGATACTATCAAGCAAATTCCTTAAAGGGATGAAAACTGGTTCATTCTTAAAGTATACCAGTCTCTTTTAGGAAGTGAAAACAAATGAAAAATATGTGCATGATGCAACGGAAAAGACTTATACTATTTGACGAGGCTGATAACTATCAGTCCATCATTACTATTCCGCAAAGAATATACATTTATTTTATAGAGATTAGTATCTTAATGCTAACTGATGTTTGTGAACCATGTACACTCATTAATTGTTTCCGATCTGAATAACTATAAATTTTATCGATTAAAATCTAAGCCATCCAAATAATTCATATTACACTGTCATCGATCGCCGTAATTTTACGTGCAAAAAAGTAGTCATTTTAACTTTTACTATCGTATTTTGAGACCACAACAACAATCCGTTGAGCAATCTCCTCAGATTTTTGTCACTGAAAAACACAAAGAGTATAATCTCATGAAAATTAATCAGAAAAAATCAAAAATTACGAGCGAACGGCTCTATTTTTGGCTGATAATTGCCAAATCAATGAATACAATTTATCCATAGCCATTCAGAGTCTATATTTAGGGGCAGAAGAGTTGGAATAAAACGAAGTATTTTCAGCAGTATTCAGTTGTGTCTTCTAGTTAGGTAATTCTTGTGTGACATGAATGTAAACTCTTTTTTAATTAAATTTTTAATATAAAAAATGGGTCAAGATAAGTGGCCGATAAACGGAGTGACCGACAAATAACACACTAGCGCAGCCATTGATATAGTAGTTGTGCCTCATGGTATTTTCAAGTGAAAATATCCTGAGTTTAGAGCAGTTATGGCAAAACATATCGTTTTTAGCTTTAACGAGCATGAATTCAGCGATCTGAGGTAGAAATGAGCTAAAACAGAGTAGTCTCCGAAATTCGGTTAATGTCTGCTACATGATTCCATGATACAAAAAGAAAATACAGTAGAATAGAGTATAGTACATCAATAAATATTACTGGAAATAAAGTTATATTTTTGTGATTAGTTGTTCAACTCGAATTGACGACGGAACAGCTAAGAACAGATGTTGTTTCTTGATCTAGGAATATACTGCTACTCGTAAATAACACAAACTTCATATCACAGTAACACTGATATTGTCTCACTAATATTGCCCGATATTTTGAACATTGAATCACCAAACAAGAAAACAAAAATATCATACAGCGATTATTCTATAGACCTAAGTGGTCAAATCGACATCTCTCTCTTACAAATAAAAGCGCTTTATAATAAAAAAAAATAATAATAATAAAATAGCAGATTAATCAACCGTATTTATTATGTGAAGATAAGAATCCTTAAACATGTTATTTTTATAACTCTAGAATTTTCAAATCTTTAAAATCGAACGTTTTGGACTTGCTGTGAGATCTGTAATCTCTGTCACAGTTTTCTAGTTCAGTTTTTCACTGCTCTGATGGAAGTCCAGATGCCCAAGAAATCTTTTCTAGATCCATTTCTGAAACCTTGATTTCACCATGTTTTACCCGGTTTTTTCTTCGAGAACACAATGTAATCAGCTTTCCTGGTCGTAGATAGAACCTCTATACTACTAGAAGAATAAATAAAAAAATGAACACATTTTACAGTCATGATAAATTAAAAAAACAAATGAAAAAGGTACAAAATGCAGTCTTTGGGAATCTGAGGGTGCCTTCATTGCACTCGATTTATTTTTCAGTGAATAAATGCAAGTAAAGAAAGAGCTAAATATACTGTACAGGGTGATAGAGAATTCCGAGCGCTATCAGAATATGGGATTATTTTTGTAAAAGTATACCTTTATAAGGAAAATATCTTAAAAAAACGCACTGCAGCTATTTTTTTCCAGGAGGATATATACTTGTATGGTGCTAAGCCGACACTGCACGGTGCGGCAAGAAAAGAAAAAAAACTTATATTAAACTTTCATTGGTTCGTCCACCATCTTGTGGCAGACGTAAAGTAAAGTGGTATACTGATTCAAGTGAGAGCCAATCCGTGAAGACTGGCAAGACTTTGACTTTGTGATAAAGGTACAACTAAGATGTTAATGAAAAAGGTTAGTTACCGAAAAGAGAACATTTCGCATCACTTTCTAGCACGGTGCTAAAAATTGAATTAGATTTATCGGAACCTTAAAAATCAGGAGCCTATTTCTCAAAAGAACTTAACTTAAACAGAGGTCATGCAGTAAAAACCATTCATTGTTTCGCACGATCTTAGGTGAAATGATCATGCCAAAGACATTGCTCTTGCTTGTCGGCGCAAGCTTGGAGCATTGAATCGTGTCTTTGGATTAGCTCCACCTGAAATTCGGCGTCGAATCTATCTTTTTTCTATTCTTCCTAAAATTGACTATTGCTGTGCCTTGTATTATACAAGAAGATGAAAACGAACAGAAAACGAACTATCATACAAGTTGTATGATAGTTCGTTTTCTCTTACTGTTCTTGATTCTGTAAACAAACTTGCTTCTCGTATTATTTCTCGCAATTTTGACTGTCGTTCTTCTAGTTCCCTAATATAATGCTTAATTGAAAATTCTTATTCGCGTTTTAAACACACACAAAAAGCGTTATCAACTACCTTTAACACGAACTCTTTATAGAACTTATTAAGTTTGAGCTGATTTGCTCTATATATCGCTTATAAAATAAACTAGTGTTAGAGTCAAAGAAAATAACATTACTTGGAAGCAACTTTTATCGTCGTTTGCATGGGCTTTCAACCCATTCTCAGAAGTCTTCTCGAGTTCATTAACACATTATAATAACGATATTAAATAAACATTGTAGGTAGTGGCGTACTCACCGGGTGGGTTGATTGGTTTTGTCCACCCACTAAAACTTTTACAGTTCACACTACTCTGCGAAAAATTCTTATATTGCTACCATTTTGAAACAGGACGGAAGCGGATAAAAAAATTTCCTCTTTTATCCGTTTGTTTCTGATTTGTCCGGCAAAAAAACTGCTATTTATAACTACTAGTGACGTAGCCAGGATTTTGCTAGTGGGTGTACATTATCATTATTTATAATCAGAAACATGTGGACTTTCAGAATATATTGTTTAAAAGATTCCAAAGGCTGATTTTCGTTCTGAAAATTTGATTCTAAACCGAAAAAGCTTGAAACTCTTTCTATTACATTTCGTAATTTTTCTGCCACGGTTGAACAAAAACGAATGGCAATGGGAAACTTACATAGAATATACAACTTTGAATGGTCTATCGAATGATATCATTTTGAAGAAAACAAAAATACACGTTTTTCAAAAACCCGATTTTTGATCATAAGGTTTCCTAGAAAATTACGAAATGTAATAGAAAGAGTTTCAAGCTTTTTCTATTTAGAATCAAATTTTCAGAATGAAAATCAGCCTTTGGAACCTTTTAAACAATATATTCTGAAAGTCCACATGTTCCTGATTATATTTAGCTGGTTTATGAGGTTTCCAAATCATATATTAGAATGTTAGTACGACATTAATTCAATTGGGTCATCAACACCATCTGTAAGTAAAACTTAATTTTCGTAGCCAAGACTTCTTTTTCTCGATGCTTGACCTTATATTTGTAATCAGTATCAAATTCTGCATTAGAATGTGTGTTTCAAAAAATTCTGAGGAAAAATTTTTTCGATTATCCAAAGTCATAGGAGCAAAACTTTTTCTAAAAAAATCGAAAGTCGATTCTCGAGTGAATTAAATACGTCATTTTACTTAGAATTTGAATATATGCTAGTCAGAATATAGAATGCTGATTCCGAATATATGATTGTTTCTCAGAAATATTGGGGGATGCAAAATCACGTTATCCGCCTCCGTCCTTTGGGGCAGTGCCCACCCACTAAGAAAATCCTGGCTACGTCACTAATTGTAGGGGATAAAAACAGAGATTTGCACGCTTTTTTTCCAGTGTCAACAACCCAAAAACGTTTCTGAACGCGTCTGTTCCTAGGTAAGGTTTTGTGTTCAGCTGGGACTACCTTTTTATATTTTTTATTGCGTTTGAAGTTAAATGTTGTGGAAATCTTTAAAAGACAACTTCAGTTCTTTTTGTGTGCTTGTAGGAGGCCTTTCGAAATTTTCTGGCAGACATATAAGAATCCACTTGAGAAGAAATATACCCTGCATTCTGAAAGCAGACACATATATTAATCGAAATATGTTTTTATCGCATTTAGCTACTTATGGACTAGACTCTTCTTAAACATTTTTACTGCTTTAGCTTAGCTTTTGTCGATATTATAATTTTGTTTATGGTAGTTTGTTTCAATTTTTTATCAATAAGAAAATGTATGTTAAAAATACAAAATTAATCCTTTGCGAGGACTGCGCGCGTAGTAAGGGCCAGTTCAAGTTTCCAAAGCTTGTACTTTTCTGTAACGGAAAAGCGGTTGAAAAACAAAAATTTATTTAATTCAAAGAAGTCGAGTTTAAAATATTAAAATTAATAACCCTTGTCTCTGTATGATATCCCCTTAAAACGCAAGGAATAACAAATGGACAGTTTATGAATATATAGAGAAACTGCATGTGAAAACAGAACAATTCGATAATGTATTTTTGCAATCGTCTGCGACATTTACCTGGTTTTAAATTCTTATAGGCTGACACACATTTTCGGTTCTAAATGATGAGGTACATTAAGCCAAGAAATGTCGTGAAGATTTAGAATCAATATTGAGACTTTCCAACAGTCGTTTAGCTTAATATCCATGTAACAACTATGACTAAGTTAATCATATGTTTGACCATTTAATAATATATTTTAATATGTTTGTAATTCATCCATTGTTATACCACAATCATAGATATACTCACTTATAGGCTAGTGAATGGTTACAAACTATATCATACAGTTATAAGTTTTTATCGGCGTAAAATTTAGTAATACTTGCCAATAGTAGACATCTCATCAAAGATAAGTTGTCCGTATTCATTTTCGCTTATTTTCTTCAATAATACATAAACATGAACACATCCGGTAAAATATTTATGAGACTTGCTTTCTCTACTACTAAAGAACAGAAAATTAAAAAAGTACTACTAATGCTGAATAATTTATCAAAAAATCCGATGGTATCATATTTCATTTCTCCACTATTGAATATTTTGGTCTTTATCGTGTAATTTACCATCACAGCGTTCACTTCCACTTTTGGCTTTCGACGATATTTCAACACCAGCAACAGTCAGTCTGCCTTCTTTCGTCTCTTTGTTAATTTCCATCAAACGCTGCCAATGTGGACTTGTATGAATTTTTTCTACTGTATCAGGTGAGAGGAAGCCATTTTTCGCATCATTACCATTGAGTACACCCGAATCAATACCACAATTGATATTTGAACCACCATGTTTGCTTAACAAATGAGCACGGTCTCTGTCACAGGGCGTGGAAGTATCAGTCATCGCTTTTTATTAAATTATTATAGAAAAATGAGAAGTGAACAGCAAATAGTTAAGTTACACAAAATAATCTACCAATTGATCAGTATTCAGTCATATATTTGAGGGAATGTGACGTAACGGACTGACTTGAGAGAAAAAAAGTACATCTCGTTTCTAGTCCATGCGTGCAGAAAGTGGACAAAGCGCATGCCTTTACAGTTTATTTATCCCATAATAGTCGTAAGATATTTTTGAGAAAAAAGAGAAATAAGCAAGAAAGCGTATGTACTCCATCACGCTTTGCAGGACTGTCATAAATTTTTACTTATTGATACTATTTTTGTGTGCAGTGCCAGAAACTGCTAGAAATCTAAAACGGTATATATGATAAGTGAAATGTAGACAACACTAATAAAAAGAAAATAATCCTTTTATATTATCTCAATGACTTATACGTAGGAAATAGTACAAAAAAAGTATCTTGATTTATATTTATATATTTATATTTATATTTACAATAATTATAACAATAGTACGATTCGATCGTATTATACAACACATCACATTGTCCTGATGTTGAGAAAAAACTGTAATAAATTTGACTGCGGCTTTTTTCTCAGCTGATTCCTGATGATCTGTAAATTATGATTTTGTCTTGGGAAAATATGCCTCAATTGAGAATCGATCCTTAACTAATGAAAATAATTGTTCAATTATTTTATCTTATAGAATAGAATGCAGCGTGATGCTGCACCCATTCAATGCAACTCATTTAATATCTATTCTTAAGATTCATCATG